TACACCGGTTATAACCATTTAATAACTAAGAACTTAACCGCTGCATCAAAGCAAGAATATTGTTGTAAGCTTCCAGGTCGGTTAGTGCTGAGTTACAATAAGCAGCATCTTCTTGGAACTGGGCTGTGTTTCCGTGGGGAATAACTCTTGTTAGCTTGTTTGGCAATTTAAAGCAACTGTTTTAGTAGACTGCTTGGAAAAGAAATTAAGAGGGATCTGGGTTGCAACCAAGTTAGCCCTATCAGCGGCACCACTTGTGGTACTTGCGTTACCCTCTTTTCCAACAGGCTTTTGTGCGTCTCCAGAACGATTCTTTCTATGCTCCTGTACAGACGCTGCGGAATATGTTTCCGGCGCGTGCCGCTGCAGCCTCTGCCACGGAAGTAGGGGCTGCAGGTGTACGGAAAGGGACGGCAATCTGCGACAAAGCTTCCTGAGCGTCATTTGCAGGCGGTTTGTTATGAGCATCAGAAATTTGCAAAGGGCAAACTATGGTACCCAGAAAGAAGATAGAAACCTTGTTGTCCACACCAAAAACAGCAACATAGACACTTCTGTATGGGGAACAGCTTTTGCGTTTGCCGGTGCTGGTGCGAAAGAGCCGCGGAATACTTCCGTTACCCAGACTATTAGCAAAGAAATTGCTCTGTCAGGACAAACTGCCAAAACCAACAACAGAGATTGCGCCACTAACGCGGATAACAAAGCTTGTGTTGTCTTGCCGCCTCTGCCTGCATCTTTACCAGTGAGGGTTACCAAGGCTGCACTTAGACTTTAGGTTTCCGCTCGTCTTGATTCCATAGTGTGTCACCTTACGTGCACTTTCAAGGTTATGGCCTTTGACAGGCTTACCAAAAAAGAGCTTACCAAAACGCCAAGCAGCATCCAAAGTGCCTTTATTGCTGTTGGAGCAGGGCTTGTTACTTTCGATTGGAGCAAAAAAGCTTGATGCACTTTTCTCTTATTACCCAAAGAACCCCGCAAGAATTGCATCTCCAAAATTGGTCAAGTAAACGCTACCTGTGTAGGATACGTGTACTTGCTGTCCTTGCTGGGCGAACTGCGGGAGAAGAACCATATCCTTTGCCTGTTAAAGCATAGGCGGCATAACAAACGCCCCGAACCTGCGCACCTGGGGGTTCATCAAAGAGTTCGAGGTCATGGTGTTGCCCAAAAATTCCAGGGGCTTCACAACCGTCTTCACTCGACTCCTCATTGTCGCTGGGGCAATCCCTGAGTGCCTGAAGAATAAGAGCATGGTGGTGACCTCCTGCAGCTTTTTAAAGGTTAATATGCAAAATGGGTATAAGTGCCTGAGTTGCGACACATTCGTACTGCAATACCTTAAAGCGAGCAGAGTAGGCGTATCGCTCAATCGCTGATTTGTCATCAGCGCTAACTGGCATGAAAAAGGTTAACCTGGTAGCAGGCACCTCATGAGCATTACTGTATCGCCTCCAATGCTGCTCTGGCTTTTCAAGGATGGCACGCTTGGCAGCAGATGGTAGAAGCACACTGGTGTCTTTAATGAAGTATTCAATCAATAACCCAGTATCATGTGCACCGTAAGCTGACCATAAGGTAGCTTCATCAGCGGCCACAATGACAACGTGCAAAGCAACCTCCTGGATCCCTTGACAATCAAGGTAGGCATGTCTAACATATGTCGGAATAACTCCAATACTTCTAAAGAGTTGTTGCCCTTGCTCAATAGTAATTGTTCCTTGGAGTGACCTAACTTGTAGGTGAATCTCCGGGACAACAGAGGGGCAAACACACTCGACGGAGTAAGACCGAGTGGTGAGGTGAATGCCTGGACAGTGATTCCTTGGGATGAACTTGAATGCACCTCGAACTTTGCTCTCAGGCAAATCAACAGCATTGCGTCGCAAAGCACTAATAAAGGCCTGGTAGCGAAGTGGCGTGGTGCGCAGCACAAGATGCTGTCTCACAAGGCATGCAAAGATATCATGATGATATGCTTGCCGCATTATAGCGTCAATGTGCTGACCTTGATGCATAGAGGTAGGAATGTTGCAAACTGTCAAAGCTTGCAGCTGCTCAAATGCATCAAGGGAAAGAGAGGACGAGAGGTGGCTAAGGACATCGCACGGCAGCTGCGAGACATAGATGTGGAGATTGGGAGAGGCGCCTCTAGAGCAAGCAGCTTTAGCAAGCGACACATAGGTTTCCAACAGTTCAATGACACGAGCCGCAACGTCAGCACTTAGTTGCTGATGCCGAATGCCAAATGTGACTCCCAGCATGCGATCCTGTGTAATTTTTCGAAAGAAGACCTGGTCGCGCAGCTTGGCAAATCCCATACACATCCAATCATCTGCAACATTGACCGGCAGAAAGCCAAACGCAGAACTAACCGAAATTTGCCATGTTACATTCCCCGAGTCCACATAGCCTTGTTGCAGTGGCCGTTCAGCATCATGGCGCCTAAAGGTGGCCCACACCGGGAAAGCTTCATGGGACGGAGCTCCAACTTTTGCCGGCACAGGCGAAGGAACGAGATCATGTTGTTCTCTAAAATGATTGATACGGACACTATAGTCAGGAGAGGATAAATATTTCTTCCTGACATCATAGTAAACAATGTCCTGTGGGAAGCCTTTAGGTGTCGAAAAGACAACTAGCACTTCATTCGTTGTATCAATCAATGTTAGCACCTCTTTAACCCGCTGCGGAATAGGATCGATCATGACGATACGCATGTGAGGTTTGATGGTACCGGCAAGAGCAGCAACATCCTCAACCCAAGAAGTACAAACACGGATCAATCTTCGCAGCAAAAGCTTCACCCTCTTCCACCACAGAAGGGAATGAGGCAAACAACACATCAACCTTAAGATCCATCAGAACAAGTTTTTCAAGAAGATGTCTCCAGAGTTGTTTGCACGTTTCACGCGCTGCGACGTCACGCGCCGTTATTCCTGACATGATCAAGGAATCCGAAAGCCCAGACCACCCTTATAGAGAGGGGTTGCAGGTAGTTACAATGTCACCAAACGCACAAAGGGCCTTTGTTGGAGCTCAGACACTGGCAAAAGGCCGACTGACGTATGTCAGAAGGACACGAGCCTGCATGGAAGATAATCTCAACGAAAGCGGAAGTTAGCAACTCTCGAAAGGGCAAAGATAGACGTTTATTCAAAGGCCAATAATTGCCTGGTGCACTTCAATACTCCAAGTGCAAACCTACCCCTTCAAGGGATGCACGATAAGCGCAGTGGCAGTCCTTAATGCCGCTTCGCTAGCACAATCTGACCGATGGCTTCAACCCAACCAAAGTATGATGCGCGGAGAGACTCACACTTGAGCGACAGTTTCTCGCGAACTCAGCAATGGTCTTAAAGTCCTACAGACGTATGTCTGAGGGAGCCAAGGGCAACTTTTGGACTCAAGTGACCAACACTTCACTTTCGTCCGGTTTCTGCACTCAAGCTTGCAAAAACAACACCTTTGGCGGAGGCACCTTACAGCACCCTTCCACGAAACCTTCCACTTGGCTGCGGCGCACAGACTTGCGGAAACAGTTACTCTTGTAAGAGACACTGTTAAAACACCTCACGCCCTACACCAAGGAGTCTCCCAGAGCCTTCCCCCTAAATCCTCGACAGCGAGGGGGCCAGCTAACTAGAAACGAACCTCTAAGTTACGGACTCCCACCCCACTACAGTCTCAACAGAACTTCCCTTTAGGACAATTCTTGAGCCGAGACGCCTTGAGCCAAAGGCTACGGGACCAACAAGCCTGAGGCGGCTTCCTTCTTGCAGCTTGTACGTGTTGCGCCGGTCAAGCACAATGGCCTGCAGTTTGTTAAGCTCCGCGTTAAGGCGGAGGTTTCCACCGCGGTGGTTGCGCCCGCTTGTTGTTGTTTAACGCGTCTCGGGCAACGTAGAAATGATTAAACCTGATTTTGACCACGTGCCGTTTACGGAGGCGGCTGAGCACACGGCGGCTGGGCTTGGGGAATTTGCCTCTGACCGGCCTGGTCCTACGGGCAGGAACACGCGGACCACCTTGCCATCCGCAGCGCGCATATGCTACTGCTCACGCAAGGTTCGGGTTCCCTCCGGTTGGAGAGCTCTCAAAAACGCCCACGTCATCGTTATTGCTGACTGCCAGCTTGTTATCCGCACTGGAGATTCTACCGGAAGGGGTAAAGGCGATGTACAGCTCAACACTGCGCCTTACTGCCAGCCAGTTGGCATTTGTGGGCTCGCACAGCTTAGCCTCTACGCGGTTGTTAGCAGATCTCTATCCGTTGATGATTGCCATTAGATACCCGCAGTCCAATCTTCTGCTTCCTGCAACTAACTTCTTACCGTGTCCGGTCACCATTGGGGAGTTGGCTGCAGACACGCCTGCAAGGCGCTTGCAGCGGATCGCGGCTGATGGCGCGCATCAATCGGAAGTCTACTTTGTCAGACTTCCCAAACAGGCATCCAGCATTGCTCAGAGAGGCCTGGTGGTTGAGTGGTTCTGTGTTCTCCTTGTCCTCGCCTACAATATGTGCGGTCACCGAATTGCGGTACAGGCTGGGCGGAAAATCACGGCTGTCACGCCCACTACCAAGGTCTTTGATACCCGGCCCTGCCGGGCTTGCCCGGCGGCGCTGTTTAGAGTAAACGTTTTGGGTGGGCGGGGCGGGGTGTCTCTGTGGGTAGGAGGAGTTCCCTCGACTAGACCAACTCGAAGATCTCCGCAGTTTCAAAGAGAAAAGTTTTATCTAGCAGTTTTGAGTTTCTATTTTATTTCACGCATCGTGCGCTTTTCAGAATTGAGCCAGAAGCTGAGTGCGCGCACAATCTCAATGCTTATCATGGACGCAGAGCTCAGGCTCAGGAGCAGGGAAAATTTTGATTGTATGGGGCTAGCATTCACAAGCATCGTTGTGACGCATGACTGGGCAGCTTAGTTTCACGGTAGCTCCTTACCTTAGGACTACGAAAGCGGTAGAAGGGTGGCCCTGCGGCCCATGGTCGGCCATGAGTGGCACAGGACTCGGATGGCCCGCTTTAGTGCCACCATACCGCAACCGCCTTGAAGAGTGGTTTAGCACGCCTGAGAAATTGTATGCCTCATTCGACACGAGGGAAGAGCTTGTATCATTGCTTAGGGCTTGCGATAACACGCTTCTTGAAAGTAGCCTGCAGTTGATTGCGGATGCACTTCTTGAATGGCATGCAGACAATGCCCGCACAGTTGCGAGTGGGCGCAGGGAAGCAAGGAGGCGCTTGACAGAGTGCTTGCCCAGTGTCCCGGGAACTGGCCTTAGCTTGCATGAGCATTACAATCAGATCGCACTTCAGAGTCCACTTGCGTTGCTTCCGGTTCTTCGCAAGCGGAAGTTAGCTACTGATAGGGTCGTAGATCGCGGTGCCAGGGCCACTGAAGAGATACGACTTCGGCAGGAGTATGCATTGCGTCTTGCAGCCATCATGCAGGAGGCGCAACTGCCGGTGTGCAAGGTGCTTGCAGGGGTCAGCAATGCCGAGGAAGCCTGGCCACGGCTGTTCGGGACCCGTCGATCCAAGACATTGAGGAATCGCTTTAGGGCTTGGGATAAGTTTCGGGAATGGTTGCTTTATAGCCGTGGCAGAAGTTATCCGGAAGGGGTAGCTGATGTGCTAGATTATGCCAATGAACGATTCCAGGAAGGATGTGGAAAGACAGTTCTCGAAAGCCTGCAAGCCTCTCTCAGTGTAATTGAAGGTGTAGGGCGCGTGCCGTCCACGCAGCAGATATCCCAGGATCCCACATGGCAGGCGCAGCTCAAAAGTTACACAGCCGATTTGGTTTCGGCGGCACCGCCGGAGCAGCCAGCCAGCATGCTCACCGTTGCTATCATCCTCGCATGTGAGATCTTCGTTTGCACGCCTGGGGAGCCTAGTTACTTGAGAGCATTGGGCTTTGTTTGCTTATTGATGGTTTGGGGATCGCTTCGGGCTGATGATGTTCAGGGGCTCCTGCCGCAGACCATGCTTCTGGACGAGCGAGGGCTTAGCATTGATCTCGCGCGGTCCAAGACTACAGGGCCCGACAAAAGGACCCACACCGTCAAGGTCTTCGTGGAACGGAGTATCTCTCTGACAGGGCATGATTGGCTGAAGGTTGGATATGCACTTTGGAAGGATTTCGATTTTGAGAGGGATTATTTGGTTTTGAAGGCCAATGAAGGTTTCACGGAACCCCTTGAGAAGTCGGTGCCTTCCTCCACGGTGGCCCTTTACTTCCGCAAAGTTCTCAGTGAGTTGAAGACGCCCAAGCGTGAGGGGCGCACCTGGAAGGCCAATGATCAGCGTCCGCTGCTCCCAGGATACACTTCCAGTCATTTTACGGGCCATTCTGCGAGGAAGTTTATCTGGGTCGCTGGAAGGTAGGTGGCGAAGGTTCTGCAACCTACATTCGCACTTCTAGGCAGGTTGTGCATCGTCTCCAGAGTCACATTGCTTGTTCTCTTGTCACCGGACAGCCTAAGCACTACATCGAGGTGGATTCCATCAAGGCTTTGACGGACTATGCAGCTAAGGCGGGGGAGAGCGAATCTCAGGTTCGTCGCCGTCACACCCTCCTCGAGGGATCCAAAGGCTTGGGCGGATCGTGGCCAACTCTGGCATTGGAAGTGGGTGTTGCGGCACCACCTTCTCCGGTCGAGCAGGTCTCGATGCCAGGCAGCCGGGGGAATTACTTCATCGTTACCTCTCGCACCACAGGCCTGAGGCGTTTGCACATGTTGGGCTGCTATGTCAAACCTGAGAATTGTTACGATGTAAAATTTGTCAATCATGTCGGCGCGGAGGACGTCGATAACATTTGCAAAGATTGCAAAGCAAGAATGAAGGCTCAGGCCGGAGAGGAGGAATCAGACCCCTCCAGCAGTGACAGTGGGAGCGAGTCGATGTGAAGGCAAAAGATGCTTTCGACTGCTGTGCATAGGCTGTGCCCTGCAAGTCCTAGCCAGAAGTTGGCATGAGTTGCTTATGCAAGGGCGCCTTGAAGTAGATCCACGATAACAGTCCATGCTGACTTTTCTCAGGGCGTCTTGAAGTGGATTCGCGATAACAGTTCATGCTGATTAAGTGCACGTGCTGGCGCTGTTCAAGCAGGAGGAAGTCTCACTCGGCGCAGGCCGTGAGGTGCCGACGGATTCTGCATCCTGTCACAGGCCTCAGGGCGACGGGTGGACACATCGCAGTGCAGCTAAAGGCCTCAGGGCGGCTAGCAATCCAAGTCCTACAGGGCCACAGGCCGGGGCGCGGCCTTCGCATCAGGAGTAGCTGGAGTTAGTTACTGTTGTCGCAATGGCCGCCACAGATGCCGAGAAGCGCGAGCTCATAACCAAAGCAGATAGCGACTTGCAGTTTGTGCTCGGAGAAGCTGGCTTGTCTCTGGATGCCCAGTATCGCATTGTGCAACGACATACAACACTTAGGCGATTCCAGGCAATCGCCGATTCCCGGCCGGAAGCTCGGGCTGCTGGGAAGGCGGACTTTGGTTTTGATGATGGGGCTGCTGAAGGGCGGCAACAAATCGCGGGGGTCGTCGCTGCATGGGAACTTGCACGCGACGTAATCAGCAAAGAGACGGAAACGCGAGCAGAGGCGAAAGTGTTAGGCCAGCCGCGAATCTTGCAAGTCACAGAGAGGCAAGCCATGCTCAAGGCGGTAGCGGCCGTTCACGGGCAGCTGGGAGAGTCGGAGACTCCATCGTCTGAGTACCTCGCTCTCAAGTGCGAGGAGTGCGAAGCCAATGAGCCCCAGGCTTCAACCTTGGATGCCATAACTTCGAAGAAGAACACGCTCACCACGAGCATCCAGTCCAGCCTTGACGCTTCGGGGCGAATTCATATTACTCAGCACAAATCCAAGAGTGAGCTCCCGACTACTACAGAAGCTTATCGCAAGGTCCTTCGCGTGGAAGCTTTCACATGGCTGTGCATGGCATCCCGCTTTAAATCCAAGCAGTGGCTTCAGGATCTCAAGCTGTCTGACTTCGACCACTTCGTGAACTACATCCTTGGCGAAAAGGTCGCGCAGCTCACAGTGCCTACTTCTCATCAGCCAGCCGATGTGCCTTCACTTTCGCCACCTTGGGAAGTAGTCTTGGCCTATGAGCACCGGTTACGCAAGGAGGCTTTCCGTCTGGTCAATGATCAGGGTTATACTCTGGCAGGCGCTCTGGCTTCAGTCATTTCTTCAGCGGAGCTTAAGGAGACCTACTTCACGACGCCGCTCGCCTTGTCCATCATTGAGCGACCACGCAAGTGGCACAAAGGCAAGGGCAAGGGCAAGGACGGCAAGGACGGAGGCAAGACAGGAAAGGGCGGCAAGGGCAAAGACTCCAAGGGGGGCAAGAACGGCAAAAGCCCCTCGGACCCGGCACTTAAGGGCCTTCAGTTGGTTTGGCGCACGCCGGAAGGCCGCGACATCTGCTTTGCATTCAACTCGCAGGGCTGCACCAATCCTTCATGCGAACGCTTGCACGTGTGCCGGGTCAAGGGCTGTTATCAGCCCCACTCAGCGACCGAGCATAAGCTTAAGACCGGCAAGCCCAAGGAGTGACTATCGCATGATTCGGTTTCTACCATTGAGACATCAGATCACATCGCATACCAGCCTCAGCTGTACAGTCCGAGCGGGCTTCGTGTGCTCTACATTTTCGCGGGGCCCCATCGCAAAGGTGATGTGGGCTCTTACCTTCAGTCGTTGGGCAATGTCACTAATCTTCTTCAGTTCGATCTTCAGCGCTCCACGGAGCATGACTTGACTAAGGAAGGCTTGTGGCAGCACATCTTTCAATTGCTTGGCGAAGGGGATTGGATCCTCATTGCCTCTCCTCCTTGTGAGACATTTTCCAGAGTCCGGCATCGCCACCCCGGGCCAAAGCCACTACGTTCAGCATTTTATCCTAGAGGTTTTCCATGGTTAAGCAATTTGCACAAGCAGCAGGTGGAGCAGGCTAATTATTTTCTTGATCAGACCGTGACGGCATGTCAACTTGCATGGCAGTATGTCCTGGAGCACCCGGAGGATCTCGGCGCGACGCCGGATCACGAGTTACCGGCTTCCATTTGGCAGCTACCAGCTCTGCGTGAGCTCCAGGTTTCCACTCAGGCCATCACTTTTGCATTCTTTCAATGCAGCTTTGAGGCTCCCACTTCCAAACCTACCCGCCTTCTCACTAATCTACAGGCCTTTGTCGAGCAGCCTCCGCCTTTTGCTTCATGGCCACGCTTCGACTCCAGCGATCGCTACGTGCGGCCGTTGCCGCCACGCTGCCCGCACGGGAAACACGACAAAGTACTTGCAGGCCGAGAAGGCTCCCGCTGGGCGACCGAGTCATCAGCAGCCTATCCTCCTCTGTTGTGTGAGTGGCTTGCGCATGCTGTGCTTGCTTCCGCTTCGCAGGGGGGACTTGGGTCAGCGCCGCACAGCTCCGTTCCAGGTGAGGCAGGTCCAATGCAGGAATCCCACGAGGCGACGCAGGAGGTGCATCAGGATTTGTGTGAAGTGCCGCAGGGGCTGCAGCATCAGGATTTGTGTGAAGTGCCGCAGGGGCTGCATCAGGTGGTTTCCGATAGGGTAGAGGCGGTTACAGATAGGGTAGAGGCGGTTGGCTTGATCGAGTCGGAAGCACCTCCTTCCACTTTGTTGCCGTCGCCAGACTCTTCGGGGCAACCGCAACCGAAGGCAGCACCTAGGGGGGTTAAGAAACACATTGAAGCCGAGGAGTTCGCACGCATCATTTCTTCATCGAGAGCCCCGACTCGGGCCGAGGTCCATGCTCTCTTCAAACTGCTGCCGCATGAGACTCCGCCTAGGTCGGCGGTGTCCTCTAACTGGGTTCCTAGCAGCTTTTCGACAGGCTTGTACCGGAAGGGTGGAGGCCTGATCGGGCTCAGGTCCTCGTGCAAAGGCTTCCCGGCTTCCACTGAAGCATTGGCATCCTTCGTGCGTAGCAACATGCCCGGGCACCCCTTTACCACGATTAGCCTTTACCTTAACACCGGCACCAAGCCCCACAAGGACTCCAGGAACGCACCTTTGCCCAATGGGATAATAGGGGTTACTGACTTCGTAGGAGGAGAGATCTGGGTCGAGGCCCAGGATGGGGAGTCTGTTCAGATTGTTGACGGTAAGCGCTTAAGTGGTCACCTTCTTCCGATCAGTGAGACACCCACCTACATACATGCTTACCGCGATCTTCACCTCACAATGCCCTGGAAAGGTAAGAGATTGGTCATCATAGCTTTCAGTGTATCGGAGCATACTCAGGCATGCGATGAGGATCTCGCGTTTCTTCGCGGGCATGGTTTCGTCCTTCCGGGCGAAGAGCACAGTGCTGATCTTGAGGCGGTCCAGTCAGATGATTCGGAGGTGCTGGAGGGGGGCGAGGTCGAAAGACCGGAGCCCTTCAAGCATCAGGAGTGCCACAACATCGGGCTGCCTTTGAACCTCGAGTGGGATGGCAAAACTCAGCCGATCACGGATGGCTTTGGACTCTGCTCACCCACTAGATGGCCTCCGGAAGCCAGGGGGGGCCTGCTGCCCAAGCAGGCTTTGGAGTTCGCCACTGCCATGCATCAAGTGCTTCGAGACTTTGTAGCGGACGTCGTGCCTGATATCAGGCGCACGGCGATGGAGCTTGCGCTAGGCCGCCTTAAGGAATCACCTTTCACTCCCGAGATGTTAAGGGTCCTTAGGAAGGAGTGGTTTAGTTGCATAGAGGCTGCTTCGGGAGGCAAGTGTACGGATCTTGATGTGGTGCCGAGTGGCCAGCCATTCTTCTTGCATGCTGTGTCTGCGACAGCGCGGCTGTTGCAGGACCCAGATTGGAAAGCCGTTTCTTGCCAGGAGGACTCCTATGTCAGCGGGGTCGCGATCGGTTATGACTGCCCCGCGCCTCACTTGCCACAGGTGTACGAGTACAAACACAAGTCCCGCAAGCTCGATGAATCGGATGTCGAGTGGCATCGCGAGAACTATTCGTCGGCAAACGAAACGTCGGATCAGCTTGAGAAGAAGTTTGCAGAGGAAGAGGCTCTTGGGCGCATGGCGCCTTCCACGCTGCCGGTTCTTGAGCAAAAGTACGGGCGGGATAGGGTTAGGATAGCTTCTTTAGGTTCCTTGATTAAACCAGACGGCTCCGCTCGGCCATTACACGATGGCACCCACGGTGTGCATGTCAACAATGGTATTAGGCTACTTAATCAGCAATCTAATCCCGGACCCCAGGAGGTAGTTCACCTTGTGCGTAGCGCAAAGCAAAGTCAGGAAGCCACCTTTTGCCTCACCGGCGATGTGACGGCGGCTCACAGGTTGTTCCTTGTCAGAGAGGCCGACTGGCCTTTGTTGTGCTGTAAGGTGCGCAACGACACGCCGGTAGTTTGGTACAACAAGGTAGGAACGTTCGGTATTTCATCATCCGCCTTCCTTTGGTCTAGATTGTTCGGAATCATCGGCCGCTGCACCGCGCGCTTTCTTTTGACCTTGTGGTTCTATCACCTCGTCTTCGTAGATGATGTTCACGCCAACTTCGCAGGAAGGGAGAAATTTCATCATTTGCTCATGTGGCTAGCATGCTTCGAGATGTTTGGCACACCTTTCGCATACAAGAAGTTCCGCGGTGGGCTCACTTCGGCTTTTGTGGGTTACGAACTTTCTTATCCAGACCAGAGGGTTGGAATTTCGGAATCGCGGGGCCAGTGGCTCTTGAAATGGATCGCTGAGGCTCGGTCCTCTAAGTTTGTTGTTTCGGTTCGCAGGTTTGCTGAGTTCTTAGGGAGACTGGGCTTCGTTGCTCGGCTTTTGGTTTGGCTTAAGGCACACCTTGCGCCGCTTTACAGCTGGAGGGCAGCGGTGAACGACAGTTCAGTCGCTCGGATGCCCGACACCGTCATCCTTACTCTTGAATATCTTGACCTCACGTTCAGGGACATGACGTTCAAGGTCGCCGCAGCAAGATCGGTCAAGAGAGCAGGCCCTCTGAGCAGGCGTGGCCTTCCGCACTGATGCAAAGTGCGCGGACGGGTACGTGGTCCTTGGGGGTTGGGATTGCGCAGGCACAACTCAGGAGTCCAGATGGTTCTCACTTCGACTTACTCCCTCAGAGGCCCCTTACCTCTTTGACTCAGAAGGTCACAGTCAGTGGGCTTCGGCATCGGCTGAATTGCTGGCCACGCTGGCCGCACTGCACATCTTCGGTCACCTTGAAGCCGGGCCAACTAGGCGTTTGATGAAGGTTGAGGTTTTAGCTCAGACGGATAATAAGTCTAACGAGGGCTTGACTCGCAAGGGTTCTACAACGCGCTGGCCCTTGCTCATGGTGAACATGCAGCTCACCCATGTTCTCATGAAGGCCGGCTTGCGGTTGAACTTGGGATGGCGTCCACGGGACGAAAATCAGGAGGCCGATGATTTAACCAACGAAATCTTCGACCGTTTCTCTGAGGAGTTGCGGGTCCCAGTGCAGTACTCCGAATTGCCGCTTTCCTTTCTTCACACTCTTTACGAAGCCAGGCGTGCACAGCTGAGCAGCCGTGAAGTGGATTCCATCCGCGACACGGTCGGTGGCAGGCCACGCTTCAGAGGCAAGAGAAAGAGAGAGAAGTCTCCTTGGTGACGTGCCGGCCTGCGGAAGGGGGGGCACAGGCACACAGGTGCGCCTTCCCGACACGTCAAAGACCTGTTCAAGAATTAGATGCCTGCGTGAGCCTGCCGCCATCCGTTTGAAAACATCCTGCGTGCTCCTTTCGGCAGTTGCTATCTCTTTAGATATTCATCATTAAGTGGCGAGGATACATTTGATTGGAGTCCCAAGAGGCGAAAGCAAGATATGAGAATTTATACCCCATATATTCTCCGGGGATATCGTCGGTGCATTTTTACCTTCGCCGATATTTCCGTTTGCCCAATATATCTTCTGGGCAATAAAATTTCTGATGAGGGAACTGAGTTTTGTAAACTTCGCTCACAGCGCCCTTCCTAAACACAACGGTTACGGAGAACATGAAACATGGTTTAGGCCTGAGCAACCCGCGCCCGGCCAATGCTGAGACCGGTGCCGCGCACCGGGTGGTTGGGGAGGGTGTATCATTTTCCGACTTCATCTCGCAACGGTTGCCCGACCTTCCCCCGCCAGGATTGCTGACTACCGAAGCGCAAGCCAAAACTTTGTTTGAGTTCTTCTTCGGTCACCGCAATGAGTTGGGTGCTTTCATCGACCTCTTCACCACTACCGTATGTGCTGGCACCACTGGAGCTGTGGACATCTGTTTGGTCGACAAGGCAGGACGGTTCACCATGACGGGGGAGGATGCCCACCAGCGACTTACAGCCGGCAGCACGCGGCCCACCGGCCCGCTGATCATTGCGGCTCCGTCCCACTGGTGGGGCATTATCGCAGCCCTGGAGCTCCATGCGTTGCTTCACAAGACCCACATCAGTTGGGAGGCTGTTTATCAAACCTACGGGCTTGCGCGCCTGGGGTTGCATCACTTGCCGCGCGAGGACAGTGACACGGCCCAGGAATTTTACCAGCAGTGGTCTGTCAACCGCGCCCCGCCGATCCTTAATGCCTGTGCTCTAGTTGCTGCCAGCGGCTTGCCTGACTACCCCGTGCAGCTGCTCCTGCGTGGCGTGGATTACGAGCACAGTGGCCCCTCTGGGCAGCCCATCTGCAGCACCCGTTGCTGCGAGTTCGTCCCAAGAGTTTACCCCGTGATCGACACCAAAAACCCCGTTTTTGGACTGCTAGAGTTCACAAATCCACCCCGCTTCAGCCTCCACCGCCTTCGGGCGCACAAGGGGACGGGCTTGCAACCACCAAAACGCGTCTAAAGCGCTTTCCGCTCCCCGCATCACCGGTCTGCGATCGGGGCACACATCGTGGTTGCTGAGCGGACAACTGTATGCCGAGGCCACAACGAGGCGGAGGGATTTCCGCCCCAGGAGTGTTCTACCTTTATCCCGTCGCATCTGACACAGTCGACACGATGCTGCTGGGGCGGCTCCAGCACTCGGTGTCGACGCTACTGCATAAATCCAATCTACCTAATGCCCTTCTCCCGCCAGTCGCCACCACCGGCCTCCCGCGTGCCCTCTATGACACAGATGGGTTTGCCCGGCCCGACCGGAGGATGGCACACCGATTAAAGAGGATCCTGGCTTGACGGCTGAGCTTCGTAGCCAAAGCTGTGCTGCCTCAGCTCCCAAGGCTCCTGACGCCGCCTGGAACCAAAGAGTGGCCACTTTGCTGGACGCGGTTGCCACCCCACCTGACCGCCTGGTGCCGGGGGTTGACGCGATACCTAGCAACTGTGTCCCGCCTGAGGAGGAGGATGACTTTGCAGAGCAGCACGAGATACTTCGCAGCTACCGAGCCAGGGGCGGGCAACAACAGCTCGTCGAAGGCTCCATCTGTGCAATGGCGCTCCGGCATCTGCTCCCCAACCGGGAGGATTGCCTCTCCTTGCTTTCGTTGCCCCTTTCGTTGCCGGCGTGTGAAATCAAGATCAGCCCTCAGAACTTTGGAGCACGGGTTGTGGACTTTGCTCATCGTGCTCTCATGCTGCGGCATTGTACACCTAGTGAGGCTTTCCGTGTGTGCCTCACACCATTGTTGGCGGTGTCCATAGCGCTGGCTCAGTTCTGCGACCCAGTGTTGCGGTTGCCCGAAGGACGTGTGTTTGACTTATCGTGGTATGAGTTAGCACGGCCGGAGATATGGTGGTGGTTGCTGTTGGATGAACTGGATGGACTCCGGTTCTCGCTCCCCAATGCCAAGGCAGGCATCAAGTCTCCCGTCCGTGACGGTAGCCTCATCCAAATGTCCCTCGCACCTCGTCGGGCGCCTGCCGAGACTGGCACACGCCACCGTGGCACTGGCTCAAGCACTCGGCGAACTAAGCCGGAGGGGCACTCGAACGCTGATCCGCAACAGGGTACCCCCCTCCTGCACTGTGGCGTGCTGCTGCCGGTGCAATTGGTCTTTTATCTCGTCAGGGCTCTGACCGACGAGCCCGATGCGGCCTCCCACCTGCAGCTCGTCAAAGTCTCTCCGATCGAGCACAATGCCTCGCAATTCGTGGAGATCAGGGTCAAGGCGGAGGTGCCGGCTTCTCTTGTTGGCCAGCCCAAAATTGCGATTGCTGCCCGTATGATGGAAGGTTTCCGCAGTGGCATTCTCCCAGCCAGGCGGGGCGATTTCGATCCTCAGATGTTCTCGTACCCGGGCGTATATAAAGGCACGTTCCGCCTCTTACTCCCGTTGGACGCTGCTTCCCTGGGTTTGCAAGTGCAGCCTACGCTCCCCCTCCAATCTGCAGGGATCTTGAATGCCGCGTTGTATCGTCTCCGCACAGCTGCCACCACCGCTGGTTGGGAGCTCAGTGCTGTTGTCGCGTTCTGGTTACGCGGCCCTCGAAAAATGGACTTCTATTTCCCAGATCGCCTGTGGCGCTACGCTCATTTCGATGCACAGGACTCCAGGGCCCAAGTTCTGCATCATAACTTGGTGGCGCAGGAGTCCAATCAGGATGCGATGCCTGACGGAAGCCGTCCGTGGTTTCGGCTTGGCGATCCTTGGGGACAGGACAGCTGGCGCGCGGCAGCCCATTCTTTCATCGAGCAGGGTGGCATTGGCCCGGGCATGCAGCTTCCGTTCATTTCTGAGGAGCTCATGCCACATCTCCATGAGCCAGACCATGATACGCTTCAGTATGGCTTTTACCGCCTCAAGGCCTTGTATGCGGATGGCCAGTTCCAGCTCCACTACCTGCTACGGGAATCTCATTTTCCGTCCGGTGGCAGCGACATGCAGTGACAGCTGGATCAATGGCCCCCTCCATGACGTAGTGATGCTTGTGGGAGAACTGGCCAAGATCGGCCAATC